AAGCATCAATTCTCAAGCTACAAGTAATCCATGATTAACAACTTGAAATTAAATGCGAAATCAAATAGTGAAAAGATTAGGACATGCGGTCGCTAAACCAAACAAGTATTTTCGGGTAATTACGACCCACAAGGTACCACCTAGTGCGCACTTATGACTTAGAGGATACTTGTCCACGTACTAGTGCCAAACCCTAATCATCACATAAATTATGTCCTCACAAACTTTCCAAAATCAATAAGTTCAAAACTTATACAAAATCAAATGCAAGTTACCACATTCCATGCACAAGTAAGGTTGAGTCCACACAAACCATGTCCTAGAATTCAAGTCTATATAGCATATGACATGTTATGTCCTCAATATGTAATTTATACCTAAAGTAAGAGTATTTTACAACAATTGAACTAAATTACCATCCTAAGCCACAAATACTAAATAAGCTACAATATAGTAACTAGCTTTCAACGTAAACAATTATAATATTCTAACAAGCTATATACCTACACAAAATATATTTAAACAAGTCATGCAAGACAATGATATCCTATATCATGCTAAGTCCAATTCCTAGATTTAAACATAGGAACAATTTCAAAGACATAGTTAAATCCATGGAACAAGTAGACAGAATTTAATTAACTAAAATAATTAAATTCTCTAGATTTCGAATCAATCCCAAATAATCTCAAATTAATATATGTTAAGGGACATAGCATAGTCTTCACATATATCTCATCAAATATTGAATCAAGGGATTAAAACACTTAAAATAAAATTAATTAAACTCATTAATTAATTTTCTCTAGATTTTCAAATAATTCCAGATGTCCTCAATTTTACATAGGTTGAAGAACATACCAAGGCCTATTTTACTATCACATTACAAGTTGATTTCATGCTTGTTACAACTATGTGAATTAATCTTTCACAAAAGATAAATATTAAATAAAATTTGCATTTCTTATTCAAATGTTCCCAATTTAATATATGTTGATATACATACCAAGGCCTAATTTACTAGCATGCCACAATTTAATTCTAAGGTACACACCTTCATGAGAATTAAATCTTAAACATAGAAAATAATTAAATTAAATTCTAAAACTTGAACAAAGGCATGCTTACAAGTTGTATATACTTATATAACAATCAATACAACATTAATATAAATCTAAGACATCCCCTACCTCAATTTGAGATGAAAATCTCAAAAGCCACCAAAATGAAACCGTTCTGAATCCGATGATACTTCGGGGTTTTGTCAGGGACAACGCCGTGATCAATAAACCCCAAGGAAGACATACCAAAATTCTCACTTGACCTCAAACCTGAACTCAAAATTTGGCCAAAAATGGGTTCTAATAAGGGGGAAAGATGCGCGTCGTCAAGACAAACACAAAATGCAAAGGCCCTATGACTTTATAACAAAGGGAAGGAGGTTTAATTGAGAGAAGAAGGGTGGCAGCCCCCCTTGGGCTACCATGGCAGCTGCTGGTCATACATGAAGAGAGGAGAAGGTCAAAAATGAAATGTCTCACCCTCTTTTTATAGGAAAACCCTAAAAGTGCCCCGAAAGGGCCCTTCCAGGTCCCCAAAAGTGAAATTTGAGCAGACGCACTCAAATGAAAAAAATCTATGAACAAAAAAGAACCAAAATGAGAAAATATGAATAACAGAAGAAACGGCGTCAAAAACTGAGTCCCGAGCAGAAAGATATGCCTCGAACAAGTTCGGCGGCAATCGAGGCCAAAAACCTTGAAACTGGGGGAAAACGACCAAAAGGCAATTCTAAGAGTACACGACTCGATGAAAAGTGAAAATGAATCCCGTACGAGAATCTAGGTTCAAAATGAGGCATTTTGTAATAACTTTCATTAATTGCACAATGGCCTCTGCAAAAAGGGTTAACTACACTAATGACCCAGAATGAAAATATCTTCCAAATATATTTTCTTAAAAACCCCTGAAATAAAATATCTCCAAAAGATATTTATGAAAAACACCCCAAGAAATAAAAAATATTTCTGAAGAACTTTGCATCCATACCCTTATGGACACCGGGAGCAACTAGGGTACTTTCCTACAAAAGTAAAGATACGTATTTCGTGGAAACCACTTAGAATGAAGATACATGAAGTCAAAAACCAACCCTGAACACAAAAAGTGAGGTTATGCTAACAAAGTGACAAACGGGGAAAAGGCAAAATAGGGAAAAGGACGAAAAGTGAATAGTATCGAAAAACGAATGTGAAAATGACTCGGTCCTTAAAGGAAGTTGTCAATCCAAAGGAAAGAGTCTCAGAAACCATTTTTGAGCACTCGAGATGACACTAAGTGACAAGAAAGTGAACTAAGAAAAAAAATTTCAACGAAAAAAATTCATTCGTGAAATTCTAAGGAAAAAGGAAAGGAAGGAAATGACCGGGTCATTACACTCTCGATAGTCAAGGGAAAAAGATTTATACTAGTGTTTAAGACACGTATAGCTGTGAATGGGTTGAATAAGTGAAGATTTTCCAATAACTCTAAAGAGTTTAATGAAAAATGTTATGAATACACTAAGCAAGTACACCGAGACAAGCTAAATCAAGCTAGCTAGCTCTGATGTACAATTTAGCTAAAAGCTAAAATGTTACTGAGTTGCAAACTAATTCGCTTAGCTACAAGCTAAAATGATTAATGAAGTGCACATAACCAAAGAGTAAAATTAGCTATAAGCTAAAATGATTAATGAAGTGCACAGAACCTAAGAGGAAAATAAAAATCTGTTAGTTGGTTCTAACTCTCAACTTGATAGTAAAAAACATGAGGGTGATGAGTAGCCATTTTAGCCATAAGTTATTTGAGCTATACATCATATCTGCTCATGTAGGAGGGAATAATACTACTTGTAAAGTAATAGTTTTTAAAGAATATTCTTCAAAACAAATTACTCTACTACCAAGGTATATTACTTAGATAAGTGTGTACTAAAGTTATGAACTACTATAATTGATAGCTAAACAAACTTAACTTCAAACTAGCGGTAATAGCTGAGAAGTGGGTGTTCATCATAACCTAGTAGTGAGATATGAGAAGAGTGTACTTAATCTAAGCTAGTAAAGATAGCTAAGAACTCACTTTAAACTAGTAATGATAGCTGAGAAGTGAGTGTTCACTCTGTGGTGATTGTATCCAAAGCTTAAATAATAAGATAATTATTTGCTTAAATGATTGAGTTATGTAATGTGTGACACATGAAAGGTTATGACATGTTAATACGACTGGCTTAACATGAACCTAAACATAAATAACTCAATTTATAAATACAAAAGATGTAAAAGCAAATATTAATTAGAGCCCATTGTAATTTATATCTTTAGCATCAATTCACGGTAATGTCAGTGAATTATTATAAGAATATGCTAAAGATAAAGTGAGTACATATGCACTATAGACTGTTATATATGCTTGTTGAGAAGCAAATATGGAACCTTGAAAAGGTAGATAAGGTGAAGTATTTAATATATGGTACTTCCATAGTTGAAAAATCATAATAAATACATTAGAGATAAAATTTCAGGATTATCCCAAAGTTATGGGAGATATTATCCATAGATGAAATTTGTTACGAGTCACTCATCTTAAGAGAAATACTTATAAATGTGGGGGGTTTCGAGTCCTGAGAGTTTTAGGATAGAACCAAAAATCATTTATAGTATTATAACAATAGTGCATGTTGTTTTCTCTGAGGAAAATATTATGGAACAACTAGAAGAGTTCTTTTTCCAATGGAAGAGCTGAGTTATTTGTTCTAGTTGAAGAGTAAAGTGTGCAAGCTTATAAGTCCTTGAGTGGATTAAAGCTGGTACTGAGATAATGACATAAATGTGATACATAAGTCATTATATGCCTTAAAAAATTAATTAACATCTGATAACATAGTATATTCTCAATAAAGTGAGATTGTGATAATACTAGTTATGACAACAAAAGCCTAGCTAACTTTTGTAGATGTAAATCTCAAATACAAATACTAGTCAAAGTATATCACTGGTTAAGATTACAAGGCATCTTAATAACCTTTCAATCCAATATAGGATCACTGAAAAACAATAAATTAGGTAGTTGAGATATACCCTAAGTCCAATATTGCATAGATCGAGGTGTCTAACTAAATTGGAGATGTAACAGTGATGCAATTTGGATGTGGGATATTAAAGACTTCAAATCCAAGAGTGGATATGTCTTTAATATTAAAGGTATAGTTGTATCTTCTTCATATAATTCAAAGTTAGAAACTTTGAATAAATTAAATAGGAAAGTCAATAGACTTTATCTAGAGTACATTTCAAAATAAGTCTACACTTGTGCCACTAAAGAAAAGGATATTGCTAACAATAAGCAATTTTAGGGCACAAAGTATTCAGTTGCTCTCAATTGGAGAAATCTCTACAGAGTGTAATATTTATAAACACAACCTTGTGGCCACATATAAAATTGAGGGTTGTACTAGAGACCAATTGTACAGATCATCGAGGGGAATGGGATTAAAAGCCGAAAGCTAACGAGTCATCTTAATGGAAATCCAACCTAGTTGACTGGAGATCTCAAGATCTAGGTTCAAAAGGACAACAAAAATTCTAAAAGGCTCACCAGAAGCACTGGGAAGATATAAATCTTCTGCCCATTCTATAATGAGACAGTGCTACCTACAACGAGGATTAGGATAAGCTACACTTTTAATGACTCTTATACCCTGAAAATTCAAGTGGGGTATGGTAGGATACTCTTAATAAGAAATCACCTATATGAGTGTGAAGTGGGGTCGCTTCTATGAGAACTATAAAGGCTAAGTTTTCTGGAGCACTCATTGAATACCAAGACTTGTTCAAGGCCAAAATGAACACAACAATGAGAACCAACTTTATGAGGAAAGCTACTGTGTAACGCCCCGAATTTTTCTAAATAAAATCTTCGATTTATTCAAATCAAAATACTTCAATTTACACCCAGGATCTCAAAAGAAAATACCATTTTATTGATATAGAATCAATTCCTCAAAAATGAATACAACATCTCTCAAAATAAATAAATTAATTCCTCAACACCAACTCTTCAACCTAAGCCCGCTACTAGCAATCCAAGTTCATCCTCGGTACCTGAAACTGTAGGGGGTGAGACAGTAGGAAAAACAATAACAAGGATTTCAAGAAGTTTCATGCAAAATTAATTTCACAAAAATATACATATATTTTTAAACAAAAATACGTATATGCAATTTAAACAAAAGAGCAATCATAAAATATTTGAAACAAATCATCTAAGTCATTCAAGGTATGATGATCCCTACTCTACAAAACAAATCATCACTGAAATATCAAAGCCTCAAGTCCGGCCCTCTGTGCCGTCTCTCGGCTGTCTGTCCTCAATTTTATCTAAACTCTCTCTAAAATCTTTCCTCTATTTTTCTCATTCTCTGAATCATTTCTCCAACTTAGCAGTACACAAACACACCAAATATATAGGCAATATGTACCGACCCAACACAAATATCACAGGACAATTACTTTCTTATCTCTCAAATCATTTCATTTCTTTGTTCATCAGATTCCAATAACCCATGTGCACGAAAAAATCAAAGTAGAGAAAGTGATGCCCAAAAGTCTCGTGGGCCCCGCAAAAAAAATCATATCTCTTATTGTCTCTAATTTTGGTTGGTGCATCTCACTTTTTCCTCATTCCATCAGACAACACATATATACATAATATACATGCATAAAATCAAAGTCAAAACCCATTGTGCTTCAAGACCAACAAAGCCACGTGGGGGAACAAGGCAAAAAGAATAATTTGCCAAAATATCATTTAATGGGTCCCACGCCACCACCTCCTTCCTTATCATCTTATCACCTTCCAAAAACCATTTAACCAACAACTATAACAGACCACGTGAACATTTCTAAGCCAAGGAAAATTGGCAAACAAGTCTCCAGTGGGTCCCGCGAAAATATCATCACAATTTTCACAATATCAAAGCCTCTCTCTTCAAATCTCGTCCAAGTGCATTCCACCTCACAACACATAAAAGTATATATATATATCATAACCAAATCAAACCATTCTCAACTCTTTTAAATAACAAGTGGGGCCCGCGGACAACCAATTCCATTTTCCCTTTTTCTTTCTAAATCTCGGCCAGCCCATCAATTAAGCTTCTTTATAACCAAAATAGATATATAATCAAAACCCACTTTTGGAACCAACTTGCTCCTTCATCACAAACTGATGCTACAATTTATATATATATATGATCATTTATATATACAAAACCTGTAAACCAATTCTATTCCCACTAAAAATCTAAAGTGGGTAAATTCAATCAAAATAAAATATTCAATCTTCTTTATTCTACCAATTTTCGGCTGCCATCTCCCATGATAACTAAAATCATGAAATTAAATTAAAATTAAATTTAAACTCTAGTCTCCAATTCAATAATCAATGACCCAATTTCTAATTGGTAAATCTCCAATTTAAAATAAATGTTCAATCAAACTTAATATATATATCACAAATACATATATACAAGTGCATACCTTGTGACAATAATCTAAACCCAATAAATATTTAAATTGGGTAAGTCTTCAAATAAAAAATTAAATTATCAACTATGACAATTTAAATGTCATGAAATAAATTGAATTTCAACACTTAAAAATCCGGGTTGTTAGATACTATGTGTTTGTTATTGTCTTGGTTTACATAATCGGCTGAACAGTTCAAGACATCGCTGATAAGTGCCGAATATTGCATATTCAAGCGACCTTATTTACATTAGTTAAGTCCATTTGTTGGTCCTGTTGTATAGATTTTCTTCATTTGCATGTTTTTGTTTGCTTTCAGGATGGTTCTCAAAAAGGGTTAAAAGTGAAGCTTTGGTGAATTCTTGAAGATCAAAGCACGCCGTTGCCGGGAACCTTCATTTTTGCCAAGCCAGTGAACCATTGAACTCAAGGTTCTTTCCACAAAAAGTGTAAAGAACAATTATCGTGTCATCGGGCCAAGCCAAAATCATTTCAAGAAGCAAAGTTGCCCCTAATAGCTTTGCGGGCGCCCGCCGATTGGTCCAAAAAGTTTGTGATTTTGCGGGGCCCCGCCATGCACTGTGGGCCCCCGCCATTTGCCTCAGTCGAGCCTCAAGTTGCCCTTGCCAGCGCGTGGATTCTCATCAGGACATCCCGCGGGTGCCCGTCTTGCGCTGCGGGCACCCGCCAATCTGCAGACAAGAGGTCGTGGGCTACATTATTTCACCCAATGTGTGATACCCCTTAGATCTGAGACACGGGTTCTTCTCCTTTGTATCCACCTCCTCTGGACCAAAAAGAGATAAGCGCGTGAACTGCTGCTCATACTCTGCCATTGTCATGTTCCCTTATTACAGATTAAAAAACTCTGTCTTCATAGCTGCCCTGACTGCATAAGGGAAGTACTTCTCATCAAAGCGTGCACTGAACTAATCATAAGTTAATGACACTCTCTCCTCTGTGGTGGTAACTGACTCCCACCACTGTAGTGCATCCCTAACCAGCTTGAAGGTAGCAAACTTCTGTTTCTGAACCTCCGTGCACTGAACCAATCGAAGATGTCGCTCGATATCCTTCTTCCACTGATGAGCTGCTTTCGCATCGGTGGAGCCTGTGAATTCAGGTGGGCTTCCTTTTGTGAAAGAACTCCTAGCCTTCTCCCAAGTATCAGTTTGAACAACCGGTGCTGGTATCGGTGCCGGCTGTACCTGAGGATGATTCCGAAGTGTAGCTGTTACCCCTGCTTCTATAGCCCGAGCAATAAGGTCGTTGATATGAGGAGGATACTCTGGATCTCAGACCTGATCCTGAGCCTGCTGAACTTCTTCCTATTCTTCATAGAACTGACCATCATCATGAAACTCTGGCAAATGCTGCTCTTCCTCTATTAGCTGACGCTGTAGACGATCTTGTTGCCTACGTGCCGCTCTCCTTTGTCTCCTATTTCTTTGCATGTTCTATCCTCTTCTAGCGTTAACCATCTGTTAACATAGAAAGAACAGACATCAGAACAACTTAAACTGAACCGTAAAGGAATACAATGAATCTTAAACTTAAGCTCTAATCATGAGAAAACGCTACGCGGAAGTTTTAATATGAACCATCCTAGAGTGAACCTGGAGTGCTCTGATACCAACTGTGATACCCCTCGGATCCGAGACACGGGTTGATCACACCCAAGCCCGAACCCGAGGGAATATCAAACAATTAAAGTATTTTAAATGAATACAGATTACAAAACTGAATATGAAATGAATAACTAACAGTTGGAAGAAATCTAAAATAGAATCCTTTAAAATTTAAATACTTAAAATCCAATCCTCCATAAAACCTCCAATAGTTAAACAACTCAGGAATCCATCCATTGGACCCCTATTAAGAAAATCCAAACTGAAATATAAATAGCTAAAAGAATATCCAAAATTTAAACCATGGAGAAAAGTCCTACGTCGTCGAAAGAGTGAGTAATAGTCTCTGCTCAGCACGATCAGGTCTAAGTCTGGAACTGGCGAATACTTGAAAAATAGAAGTGGGTCAGGCCCACGAACAAGTTCTATCCTACTACAATCCAAGCATAAACTCGATACGCATATAGATTCTAACCAACTCAACAATAGCTATATAATCCATTTATATATATATCCACACTACAGGACTTTCACTAGACTATGCAGGGGGTCTCAACCTGAATAGAAGGTAACATGTAAAACGCACCTGAGTGGGCATGAGTACCTAAGCCTAATAGGGTATACCTCAACCTATCATATCCAGCTACGCATCCTACTGTATATACGTTTCCTAATCGATGACTCTGAGACTCAAGATCAGATCGCGGTACCATAAATATATATACTTAAAGTCCGTCCTATTTATCCATAGTAAATCCAATTAGCCGTTCAGCCGCACAGGCTTACATATAAGTAGGATTTTATTTTTTTATAATCCGTTCCCTTATTCCGATATAGGTAGGACTTAGCGTTTCAAGCTAATCCAAACCTAGACATGCCACCGTCCTATACCAGTGCATGTAATCCAACATCTAATAGTTGATAACACAAATAATAAATGCACATATCAACTGATCCATAATAAGCATAAACAGTCATATTTAAATTAACATGCTTGCTCCGGTAATTGATAACTCTAAGTAATGAGATACATCAATCAATTTCATGACAAGGAAAATAGAAATAGATAATCTATCATGCTCATATTATACCAACCCAGTAATTGATGCGATAAATAATAAAAACTACACATCAATTAATCCTCACTAACCATAACAAAAATATATAATTTGATATGCTTATTTTACATAATTGATACATGGTTAGAGATGTATAATCATTGATAGAAAATTGCTAAAATAAGTCCCGACAATTTAAATAACCATAGTCAAATTCAGTATATGTAAGTTGTTAAGAAATTTCTATTATTCAAATTTCTAACAATGAAGAACTGGGTACACCTTCTGTGTTTTAACGTGCACTTCTAAACCATCCAAAACCTACCATCACAGTCCCTAATTGAAGTCTGAAACCCCAGAATTCCATACACAGTAGCCAAACCTCGCTGAAAATAGCAGAAAAATAAAAAAAAAAATTAAAGAAATCAAGGGAGCAGGCTCCAAAAACATGTGGAGCCGCCTCCACCCATCTTGGAGCCACCTCCAATAAAGTGTAGAGCCAGCTCCACTTCAACGGAGCCGCCTCCACTCTTCCCAGCCTTTGTCTTCTCTGACGCCAGCTATTTTCTGACTTTCTGATCATCTGTCCTCCATTTCTAAAGCTCCTAGGTGTCTAATACTAGGTCCAGTGTGTTCCAAAATTAATTAAACTCTTAATTCATCAACTAACATCAATTAAAATACAAATTATGCAAGAAGAATTTAAACTAGAACAATTACCCATTCATGAACTTACTGTTTCAAGTGATCACCCATGTGAACCAGATTAAATTTAATGTTTTCCCAAGGTGTTCTAGCACTGATTAAATCCTTTATTCATTAATTGACATCAATTAAAACATGAAGTAAATTAGGAGCTACACAAGAAAGAATTTAAAGCAAACAATAACCAACTTGTAAACACGTCCAGTTTGAAGTATCTCAGACATGCAATCCAGTTTAATCTTAATCTTTATTTAGTCCTGGAATTGTATTAGTCGTGTAAAGAACACGAGCCAAAGGGGGAGAGTTAGGAATAGAACTTGCCTTTAGGTTTCAGATCGTCGTCTTCCTAAATTCTCCGGCGAAATCCAACTATTGTAAACCCTCCTCTGTTCTCTCTCTGCCTCCATAGTCGTGAAAAGGATTCTAAACCCTAAGCAAAACTGAATACTTATATTTATAGGCCACCCTTAAACCTAAGCCTAAGTGTAATATGAGACGAAGAACTAAGTCGGCTACAACATGAAGAAAAATAAAACAAAACCCTAATTAATTGCAATACTTCAATTAAAGACAAATAATAAATTAAAAAAACAATTAATCAATTT